CTCTCTCAGATTGAATTATAAGGATATGAAAAGAATTCCTTCGTTTTTTGAAGTTTAAAAAAACCCTGGTTTTTCCTTTTTAAGAAACTGTAATTCCTGAAGATTCATATAACCATGGCTAATAACAGTCTAGATAACTTGTCTAAGTTTGTATTTCAGGAATAACAGAGGATACTCATCTTGATTCCTCTGCAGCAAAATTCTGTCTTGCTTGGCAACGGAGGGACCACAAATGAATTAGGCTGGAGAAGTCACTGTCATAAATATACTGTACTGCAGAAGACAAGGAAGGCATAAAAGGCTGATACAATAGCTTTGTTTCTGGACTTTAAACCATTATATAAATGTAATATGTTAGTATGAGGATTTGATGCTAGTAACAGAATCAGACTTTTCAGTATTTTATATAGCTTCTTGGGATATTTGTGCTTCTTGAACTGTCCCAAGGAGAGAATAATTTTGTGTGTGGAAGTCATTTGAAGAGAATGAATAGTCATTCATTGAATATCTCTCTATCTTGAAATTGATGAGATTGCTTATGAGGTTAGTTTAAACCTGAGATGCCTTTTAAATTTTATTCATTATTTAAAGACTTCTGGATCCCTTCAGAAGCTTTCTCAGTGAAAAAGAAAACTAGAGATAGTAAATACCTATTTCACAATATGACACATTTCTAATCTCACCCAGAACACACTGAATTTTGAGTGGTTTATGTCGCCATTTTCAATATGTTTTGAGCTGCATAGTGATAAAATCAAATGCATTAAATTCTTACTCATTTATCTTCTTGCAGACAAGAGTGAAACTTGTGAGAGATTCAGAATACACTTTTAAAGCTCAAACAGGACTGTGCCATTATTTTGATCGCTCAGATTTCGGAGTTTCAATAACAGGATTTGCTGCGTATGACTTCAGGTAGCTATTATTGACTCTTTTAATTTGCTATACTTTTCCTTCTGTGTTCAGCAACTGTGGAGTAAGCTAGAGTGAATAGTGCATTGACCAGGCAAAGGTTATGAGATTGATTGCACCAGTTCTGTAGCTGTGTGCTGGAGAAGGATTAATGCGTTAACATTTTTGAGAGTTAAGGCTTCCCACTACAAATCCACTCAACACTGCCATCACTAAGCCTACTCATATGAGAAACCTTAAGTCTGTGGCTTGAAATTAGCTCTTTTAAATTGGCTGTGTATAAACTGGAGTGTTGAGGCAGTTACAGTTTCTAATGTATGTTTACTGAACATTATACTGCTTTATTATTAGAAACAGTAAATCTTACCTGTAGTAGTTGGAATTTGTTGAAAAAATTAGGAAATATTCAGTTATTTCAGTATTCCTCCATTTACATACCCACGCACATCTTCTCCAGCCCATGACTTTAGAAACAATATTGTCAACTGAATTGTGTGAAGACTTTAGCTTTTTAGGTTTTCGTGTGAAAAAAATGTGCTTCTAATTTTTATCAGTACAGTATAACTGCATACTGAAATTAAAGACAAGAACTGTGACTTTGACTAGGAATTGGGTTACTGCTGTATTTGTAGTGCTCACCATTGCCCACTGACTTGACCCAGAAACCTGCTGCTTTTTAATAGCATTTTATCTTTGGATCTGCACCTTTCCTATCGTTTTTGTGTCCTATATTTGTATTACTGTGTTGCGGTATATGAAATATATAATTGTTGATGTATTTTACATGGCATGTAGAACTCAGAGGGAACAGTTTCATTATTTGATTTTTAATTCATACTTAACAAGGAGATTACCATCTCTCAAATCACTTTAGTGTGCTAACTAAAGTAACTTGGCATTATCCCTCATTCCTTTCACAGCGGTCAAGAAGAAGAAATGATGAGGATGCTTGTTAACTGGGGCCCTTTGGCAGTAACAGTAGATGCAGTTAGCTGGCAGGATTATCTTGGTGGAATCATACAGTATCACTGCTCTAGTGGAAGAGCAAATCATGCTGTTCTTGTGACTGGTTTTGACAGAACAGGTGCGTTTCCATCAACTGAACTTCAACCCAGTAGGTTTTACATGTTTTTCTCTTACTTGCAGCTCTGTCTTCTGTGGGACAGGTGATTAAAATCTAGAACCAGTTGTTCTGTTGAAAGCTGTTTGGTCTGATGTCACATCAGTTCTGGAAATGCAGCCTGATCCCAGTGACTTTGTCACTGCTACTTTAGTTCTGTGGGACTTTGTCCTTGTAAAGTCAAGAACATGGCTATATGTGTCTTTACTCTAGAAGAGCCCATATCCAATCTTTCGATACTGGAATATTAGTTCTGTTTTCTGTTTGAACAACTGGTTTCACTGGCCTGTATCATCAAACCATTGCAAATTATGACATAATAAAATGCTAATTTGCTCTGTAGAGTGTTAGGGGTCTTTTAAGCTTCCCAAATCTCATGTTGTCTCTAGTTCATGAAATGTCTCTTCCAGGTAGTATCCCATACTGGATTGTACAGAACTCTTGGGGGCCTACGTGGGGAATAGATGGCTATGTTCGTGTTAAGATAGGCGGCAATGTCTGTGGTAAGTCTGGCAAAAAATAATTAAGTGGTAAAGGCCACACGCTGGGATGTATCTCTCCATGTAGGTAAGGCTATAATAATATAATAATATAATAGTAATATATATTATGTATATATATTATGTAATAATATAATGTAATAGTAAAGATATAATGGGATCCTCAGAGAGGCAATACAAATCATTGCTATGCTTTAGCATAGCATAGTTAAATGAGTCCAGATGGGAAAATAAATAAAGCGTTACTAGTTCAACCAGGTATTTAAATGATTGAAAAGCACTATGTAGAGGTAAAAATATATAAAGCATAATGAACAGTTAGATTACTATTGTACCTTACCACGTAGAGGTAATGGCATTGTAAAGTATACAGTCATGTGTCATGATTCTAGGTTAGTGCCATTGCTGTACTCCCTGTAGTAAAACAGCTGCTGTCCTTGTCTGGTGGATGCAATTATCTCTGGGCTCAGTTTAGCAAACAAATACAAAAATTGAATCTACCTGTGCTTGGGAAATGTGTCCTGCTTGTGTTTTTTGTTGTAGGACAGAGGTATATCCTTTAAATGCTAGTTCCATCTCCTGCCCTGGTGTTAGCTTATCTTAATGTTCTGCAAATAAAAACAGATAATATTCAGTTTGCCTGCACTCAGTAAAGATCAGAACAATGTATCCAGTCATAGCTTTTTCATGGTGCTGAATCTTTTGTTCTTACTGGTATTGTGTAAAGAAACAATTTTGAAAGGGAAATTTAGAAATAGTGGTAAAGCAAGTCAATTGTAGAGGTGGCAGGGAGAATAGATGTATTATTTTCAAAATCTGTTCTCTCAAAAAGCAGAATCTTTCACATTTTTTGCAGTGTACCACACAAGAACAAACTGGCAAAGGACAGTAGTTGCTCATTTCCCCCACGAATGTTGTCTTCTGATTTAGAACCTCTGACACCACTTTTAAGGGTAGAAGAGCCATTACCATTTGATACCTTCACTGTCTATAGTCAAACTTTGCTTCTAGTGTAGGAATGATGACAACACAAAAAGAGCAGAACACGTTTAAAAGCCTACTTTGTTCTATGATTAGATGTGTATGAGTGTTCAAAAACATGTCTTGTAATGGAGTTTGTGATCTCCAGTTTAGTGAGCTTTCAAAGTTGCATAGCTTCACATTGTCTATATATTGCCAATGCAGGATATCAAGGTTTAGATTGCACCAATGCTGAGTCCTAAAAAAGGATCTAAAATTTTGGACATGAGAGTAGGTTTCAACTACACACAGTGTCAGGCAAGCAAGAAATAAAAGGGCTACAGATGATTCCATGTACCCCCCCTTCCCCCCAGCAATTCACCTGCTGTTGTGACGTGGAGGAGAGATGGCATTATATGAGTAGGAATTCTGGGAAGTCTCCACTTCCAGTATTTATAAAAAAAATTGTAATTCCTTTGCAGGTATCGCAGATACAGTTTCATCAGTTTTTGTTTGACACTTCTCTGGGCCAAAGACCACAAATATCGTTTGGACACATACTGTATTTGAAGATGTATTTCAAAACCACATTTTCTAAAATAAGAAATTGCTATAAGGGCAATTCCTGCTTCTAGGCAGTACAGAAATAGATGGCTGCAGTTTTTAAAAACATTTTTATGTCGAATTTGTGTTGCGTGTCAAATTTCTCACGGAATAAGAAGACTCAGAATCAACTGCAGGGTTACAAAGATGGACTGAAACCTCAAATGTGAACTCTATCCAGAGTTGAATACTATTCCATAGAAAAATCTTAAAAGGAAAGCAGTGGTGGCAAATGAGAAGGAATTTGGATCAAAAAATCAATAGTATAACAGTGTATTTTAAATTATTTGAATATAAAAAGAAGCATGAGTAACAATTTAGAAAGTCAGCAATTACAGAATGCATCAAATCGAGTGAGTGTGAAACTGCAGCTGCAGGCAAATGTAACTAGAACTCACAACCAAATGTGTAATTCTAAAATGCTCTGAGTTTTCCTTCTGCAATGCTTTACCTGTGTCTTTTAAAAAGCCCTACTATGAAAAGTACTGAAGCAATTCTGTAATTTTTGCACTCAATTACTGTACCATGTTAATAGTTTTTTATAAACTTTTTATGAAAAATGCAATGAGTGTTTATAATTGTCTATTGTAATTATTACTGTTTTAGTCCTTCTAATTGTTAATATTTTAAATTAAAGGGAGACCAAGTGAATTAGCCATGTTTCACTAATTCAGGTTCTGCTACTTACTGATTTTACTTGGCTGAAAACTTCAGATTAACAAAATGAAAAGTCTTCTGTACTCTCAGAGTGTTGTGTAGTACGGCCTTCCCTGAGTGGTTTACAAACAACAAACAGCACACTTCCACAACTGGAAAACAACTGCTGTGGTACAGAGAACACACCAGAAATTTAGGCCTATGGTGTGTGTCTTTCCAAATGAAGCATTTAAAAAGACAAGAGTCCATTTACTGAGAAGGCCACACAGCTTTACTGATATTCTATGGCCAAACTTGCCTTTATTTTGTATCAGTTTTATCCTTATTTCAATGATAGTTTGCATAAAAGCCACTTTAAATGTCTGTCATACTGTTGTTTGAACTTTTTGGTTGCTGTAGAAGAAGACTTAACAAAAGATGAGCTTTAATACTGCTTTATTTGAAGTGCAAAGTAAGTACTTATATCTGCTATTCTTAACAGTAAGTGTTTCTACAGAAGGGATTTACGTTCACATGTAACCCATATGTAGCAACATGATTGTTGATGTATGTATACGTTCAGGATGCTGCAGTTCCTATAGATTCCGGACTTACTTTTTAAATACAGCTTTTGAAACTCCTAACCCAAAATTCCTTTTGAAATTGCAGTAGAGCTCAGAAACTGATATTCCTCTGAAGATGATGAGACTGATTATATCCTCAACCAGACATAAATTAGTAACAGCCATTAGGCAAACAAACAAATACAAAAATATGTACAAATAAGTCAGGTCATTATAATTCCATATAATTTGCTCTCTCTCTCTAGGTGTAGATTTTAAGAAGCCAACTAAGAGTTACATTGGTCATTGAGTTGGATTGGGGTATCATTTTAGTCTTAGTATAGGCTAACTCAATAGAAATTATTTTTTCTACAAACAGTTAAATTTCTTCCACAAGCCGATCATACTATTCACATAGCTGTCATACATAAATACATATTTAGACTCGTACACTCCATGAGAATAGCTGTTGTTTGAGGGGTAGCACCACTCAAGGTGAAAGTCATGAAGTTCTTTACAGGAACTAGTCTAGAAAAGCAGTCTAGTCAGAGTCGTCGCTGCTGAAATAGGAACTATCACAATATTCTGCCATGTAAAGGAATTTATGAATGGTTGGGTTCATCTTTGGTATCCAGTGTCTTGGCACTAGAAATGTTGAAAGATTGAACAAATCCACAAATACCTTGTATCTGTCACTGAAAAAGACAATTGGAATAATAAATACATCGGCATAAGAAGACCATAATTTCTAAATCCTCAGCAATTATTCCATCTCATTAATTTAAATAAGGTTTCTGCACTAACCCTCCTGAATATTGCAGAGCAAGAATACAAACCTAACTGTTTCTGGGGCATAGCAGATTAGGCTTAAAAAGGGAGTGGTGTTGCTATAGTCATGTCTTTCTTCTGAAATTGCAGAGTACATAGGGTATAATCTCCAGACCTTCACTCTTGTGGTAGATACGTAGTAGTATTTATCTAGGAACAGTGTTAACCTGAAATTAAGGAAGACTGGGAAGGCTTTCTAAAAAAGACAGTGGACCTTCAATCCTCAAATTCAGTTCAACCATCTGCTTTCTACTCTTACCCTCTTTTACAACGGTGGTGATGGTGATTGTTGCCCACAGCCATACATAGTAGTCAGCGACTATGTACAGTTTCTCTTTGAAAACAAACCTCAAGATCTTCTTATAAGGAGGTCTAAATATCTTTGTGCTTTTTTACATAATGTTGTTCAGGACTGTCAGAACAATTGCAGCTAGAAGGCTTGAATTTTGTGTACAAAAAGTTCTACTCATTCAGAGAGTTCTGTCCTCAGACCACAACCATCCCTTTTAAGTTTCTGCTTCATCTAACAGAAGGAAACGTTTCTGATCATTGCCTACACAGCTTGAGAGTATTAATTACTATTGGCTAAGATTATATTCAATCCCAAATTGAAGTGCCTCAGGTTGTGCAATTAGTGGTCACACTAAGGAATAAAGAAACTCATCAGTTGCACAGTAGACGGGACTCATTTCCAGCCTGTGTCACCTCATTAACTTGTGCTATGTGGCACACAAAGTAGATAAGACAGGGTTAATACTATTTGCTATCACAGTAACATCTGGATCCCTTGACTGAGAATTATACATGGCACTTCGCATGAGTGATCAAAAGGAGGTTTTTTTGGCCCAGAGGGCTTGGAATTTATATATGTCAACCTGATAAATAAACGTACAACAACCAGGAGGCGATGGTAGAGTCCCAGACGAGAAGCAGCAGCCCTTTGGACTCCAATGAACTGTCTGAAATATGTCTCCTAGCATTAGAGGTTTTATGAACTGTATTGTTGCAGGTAACGGGGGAAACACATTATTCTTACCTCACTGTTGAGCGCAAATAGTGGTAGCCTGATGAGCCTCCGGTGCCAGCCTTGCTGCCAATCATTCTGTGCACCAAGCAGACATGATTATCTGAGTGATACAAAAGAAGAAAATGGCATGTATCTAAACACTCAATTTATGTTCAGTGTTTAGATATAACCGAAGAGTCATGACAAGATGCCTCCCTGAAATATTAAAGGGTACACAGAGATCTTTACAGAGATACAGAACTACTAGGTTTTGAGAAATTTAGGAGTTAAATCTGCCACTCATCAGTCAACTAATTCAAAATTATTGTTAATTCAGAATGAACACTCTAATTTTTATACATTATTATGCCCTGATTATACAGAATTAATACATTCACTTATGTGTGTCTAGATAGGGAAGGAGCAGAAGGAATGTTTTCATATTAAGAGACATCATGATGACATTTGGAAAATATATACCTGTCCCTTAAATAAAAGAATTCACCTAACTTATAGCAGGTCATAGAAATGACAGCTATACCTCTGTATCTAATTATCACAGAAACAGCTCTTAATCTTTCCTTTTGGCTGAAGTACAAACAAAAAAAATCATGCGTAAAGCATTAACTCCAAAGCTCGATTCTAAGACTGGGTATAACTGAGAGACAGAAAAATTTACTTGCATCTGAAAGAGGGAGTGTCACAGTCAAAAAAGTGTAACTTACATCTCCATTTGGTCATGAGTACATCGAGATCCATAAGGGAGGTAAGAAGCTGAAAGGGAACCTGGAAACGAGGCTCCTCTCTTGGAAAATGAAAGAGAAGACAGTGAGACTTGTTGGCCTGTACTGTATTTTTCAAAGAAGCACTTCACTGGTGCTTAGTGACTTTACATATATTTTTCCTAAATTAGTATTGAAATGTTAATGGATATTTTAACAAATGCTTCTGCCACCTACGACTTAATCTACACCTTTTCCCTCCTACTTGGAAAAGTACTCCAAATCTTTCTAGGACAGGTAGAACAGTTTAAACAAGGCATTTTCTAGTTACTGTCTGAGGAGCACCATCTGGTCAGACACAAACCAGACACCCAGAGGGGACACATAACCTCCATCCATGAAGACATTCAAAACTCAGCTGGACCCGGCCCTGAGCAGCCTGATCTGACTTTCTAGTTGTGTCTAACAAATTAGGGTTTCTGTGGAGGATTGGATTAGATTACTTTCCAAGGCCTGTTCCAACCTATATAAATCTGTGCTGGTGTTCTTAATCTTCCCTTCTCCTCCTGCCTAAAAGCATTAAAGATATATCTTCCAGCATTACCTGTAGAAGTAGATCATTAAGGCCCCTTTCAGTGCTTTGTAAGACAGTCGTCTTTCTCCTGCAAAATACAAATGTCCTTGGTTTGTTATTGATTCTCCTGCAAATTTAATGCTATTATGTGATTATATATATCATGTATAAAACTTACAAATTTACGTAAAATATTACAATCTACCTTTACTGAGGAGATGTTCATGGCGTTTTTCATCAAATAATGAAAGTAGTACATCTCTCTGTTTTTGGAATTCGGACAATAAGTCATCCTTTTCTTCTGATTCTGTTTTGGCCTTTGATTTTAAAACAAAAACACATTTTAGAATTCAACAGGGAAAATTAAGCACTTGAACGATTCATTATCCAACTTTTATTTTCATCATAAATACTCTGAAGTTGGCATCTTAGATGTAAGAACTGTATTTTCAAACAAGATACATGAATCACTGACCTTTAAAAAGTGCAATTACCACAAAATATACAATTAAATATATGCCAATACAATTCAGATGACTGAATGTCCAAACAAACTTGTATCACATTAATTTTGGTCTAGAGGCCTTAAAAACATTTAATCTTAATTTTTTTGAAGTCTGATTTATTTTGTTTTCAAGGTAAAAAGAAGACATCCTTGCACAGCTTTGGGTAAGAAAAGTGTATATGGAAAAGTTTAGGTAAATTAGAAAGTTATAAACAGATATTCTCAGGAAATTGATTAGTTCTTATGATTTTTTTTTCATTAAAAATGTACTTAAAGCTAAAGGTCCTAAAATATTCAGGGATTTTCTGGTGCTTATGTGCCAGTGTAATTCAAATGATCATAGCAGCCAATTGCCCAAGAAATGGGCTGTTTATAGTGACATTCCATACTCACAGCTAAGGGCCCAAACTTTGTGTATACTCTGGACTGTAGATGCAAGTACTAACTAAAGGTGAAGTTGTAGTTTCAGTAAAATCAACTCTGGCCCTTCCGTTGATACTAACCCATCTCTTTTGCAATCAAAATAATCCATATATCTCATGCTTTAAATGGTCTTAGATGTCAAATTACAAAACTATTTCAATTTCATGAAGAATTTGCAATTTTTTTCTGCTTCTTGCAGATAGAGACTGATGAAGATTAAGTGAAGTGAGTGAGAGACTGTAAGTGGGCCAAAAATCAAATTTATGACGGAATGTTATTTTGCCAGCTGTCTTTGGTTATAGCTAGTTCAATAGTACACATATACCATATACCTGTATCAAGGCAAATTCCTCTTCTAGACCCTTTAAAATATTCACTTCGAATTGTCCCCAGAAATCAAATCCTTCTGCTTCAAGTCCCGGAGTTCTTTCCAGCCATGCCTTTAATAATAATAATAACAGTAACAATTATGATAATGGTGTGTTTAATCAATAACAATGCAAGCTCATTACCCTAGAATTACAAGTTATACCATCATAAATTTTACTTCTTCAGTTGTTCCAGTTTAATATCCTTTAGAAGTGCTTATTGCTGGAGTAGGCACGTATGATGACTTATACCTGCATAATGGTGCCGTACACAACCCCCCACAGGTTCCAGATTAAATGACCAGTGTTAGAAGACAAAAGTTGTCTCATTCTAAGGGTATATTTGAAAAAAACTCCCATGTACATACAGGAAAACAATCTTATTCCACATATATATAGGATAATTGTAATGAAAAATCTCAGAAGGAAGATATAAAACCATCTGTAAAACCAGCTTTTATCATGTCAGATAGGCTGAATACTGATCAAGCCATCTGTCATTAACCTAAACCACAATATGTGGTGATACAAGCTAGAAATGTACTTGACAGTTTGCAAAGCTTTCTCTTTGGTTTCTTTTTAATAATGGAAATTAAATTAGGAGGAAAAATAGGAATCCTTATGGTCGAATTCCCTTTAGAGACCACTTAATTTTCCTCCTTCTCATCTGAAAGATACAAGAGCATGATATCTAAGTTAATGAAGAAAAGATAAACAAATTTAAATGTTCTATATCGGTATTAGTAGACAGACAGGGCTAATAAAGTGGATGATAGTTTTTGTGGTTTATACTACATTTTTCTTTAAAAAGTTATCATAGAATCATAGAATCATTAAGGTTGGAAAAGACCCATAAGATCATCTAGTACAGCTATTACCCACCACTGTCAATTTTACCACTAAAACCATGTCCCCAAGTACCACACCTACACATCTTTTTAAATACCTCCAGATATAGTGACTCAACCACTTCCCTGGGAAGCCTGTTCTAGTTCTTGAAAACCCTTTGGTGAAGAAGTGTTTCCTAATATCCAGTTTAAACCTCCCCTGGCACAACTTGAGGTTGTTTCCTCTTGTCCTGTTGCTTGTTACCTGGGAGAAGAGATCAACCCCCATCTTGCTACAACCTCCTTTCAGGCAGTTGTAGAGATTGATAAGATCCTCTCTGAGCCTCCTTTTCTCTGGGTTAAACAACTCCAACTCCTTCAGCTGCTTCTCATAAGAGTTGTACTCCAGACCCTTCACTAACCTTGTTGACCTTCTCTGAACATGCTCCAGAACTTCAACGTCTTTCCTGTAGTGAGGGACCCAAAACTGAACACAGAATTCAAGCTGTGACCTCACCAGCGCCGAGTACAGAGATCACTGCTCTGGTCCTGCTGGCCACACTATTGCTGATACAAGCCAGGATGCCGTTGGCCCTCTTGGCCACCATTATGTGATTTTGTGTATGAAAATGACGAGGGAGTTGGAGAAATTACTGTGAGTCATTTGTAACTCTGAGACCATGTCATTAAATCAAGGTAAGTGATTTTAACCTCTCTAATAGCCAGCACTAACAGTGGAAATATTTTTAAAGTTTTTTTCTCAAAAGGTCTTACAGTCATAAAAAACAATGCAAATGAAACAATATATTTACATTCTTAGTTGGCATTTCCACAGTGCAATTTACAAGTTTAGCAGTCAGAATTTTCAGATGAAAGAAAATGCTGTGAAAAGTCAGTTGGTTTACTAATGACTAACTCTCATACAAATATTGATAAAAATCCAAAACACAATTGACAGGGAAATTGCCAGTATACTTTCTTCTCTTAAGAAGAATTTGGCACTGACACCAATGAAGGACATTCTTAGGAGATGAGGGAAAATGAAGCAAGGTCTAAGACAGACATTGTTACCTCCACAAGTTGCAGTAGTGTTGGTTCTTGCTCTGATTTAAGCAGTAATTCATAATCCTGTCCCTTGAAGTTATCACGATAATGCCTTCTGTTATAAGGGACTCTCAGATTTTGGGGAACTCCAATTTTGTTCTCTAGCAAGCGAAACTGCAGGCTCTGAAAACCTGAGGCTGGGCTTAGGTGGTATCTTTGGGAATAGAAGAAAAGAAGATACAAAAATGCAGTATATAATTTGACAATGATGGGTTTCTCTTCTCAAAAAAACAAAACCAACCACAAACCAACAAAAAAAGCCCCAAACCAACCATATTTCACCTTTAAAGAACATCAAACAGCTATATGAACATTTTTATATGACTGCAATTAAGAAAAGGAAAAAGCTATTTTAATGCAACGACAAGGTACATATAACTTAATCACATTTTCTAGTTATATATTGTTTGTGCATACAGAGCTACATTCACATGCTTATGCTTGCATTGTGTTTTAAAGTGGCAGCTTTGTGCATGTGATGTACAGGAGGAAACATTAGTAAATATTCTCTTTCCAAACAGAATAAGCAGCTTCACCCCAAATAGATATTACAAAAATTTCCACAGCAATATGTGAACAATGAATGCATTTTAAATAGGCTTGTTACTTAGGATAATTCCTATATATTGGTATATATAATATATATGTGCAATATTATATTTTGCCTTATTCTATACAATAGAATTAGTGGGTTTTGTTTGAGGGATTAATTAAGGGCATTCTCTCAGAGTTGAATTGTCTGTGTTGAAAAAAATTACTAATAAAAGTAGCTTGAAATCCCACATTGCTAGATAATTGTAAAGCATTTTGAACACCTAGACAATTACAGATGTTTCAAACTTCCAAGAGAAGCAAAATTTTAGTTTTCTGGCTATTTTAATTTGGGAACATTAAAAGACAGAAAGGAAAGGGTACTAAAACAGTGTAGAAGTGAATGGGATGCTGGATGGCACTGAGGTCAGGAGTCAGACAGGTCAGTGACAGAAGCAGAAGAACAGGAAGGCAAACAGTGGATGAAGCTGTCACACGTGGTAGTGTGGTAGAAGGACCCAGATGAAGTGAGGGAAGACACAGAAATGCCATGGGAGCAATGAGACGAGCCAAAGGATCCCAAAGAAAGCCTGGGCAGAAAGCAGAAGAGCTACCAACCATCCAGCCCAGCAAGATTGGGCAGCAGAAGTTATTACGGAAAAAGGAGAAGGAACAGCAAAGCTTTCTTCAGCCACTTGAAGCTTCCAGCTCTGTAGACCCACTGAAAACATGAAGGAAGGAAACAGTATGCAAACCAAGACCTTGAAAAACCTGTTTTATAATCTACAGAGAGTGCATTTCTTTCACCCAAGCACTTCTATGATTTACCATAGAAAAAGATTGCAACTGTGTAGCACCAAGTTTCAAGTAAATTGTTAACAGAACCATGAGCTATTTCTATTGTTTGAACTTTTGACTCTGAAACCATTCAGCAGCATCCTACACATAAGCATCAACTATTCATTTGTACTCCTTTGCAGAACATGTTGGACTCACACTCAATTTCTTAATTGACCTTAATTGACACTTTAATATCATGTTTGTCCCTCTAAGGTATGCTCCCACCTTGCTGAATGACGATGCTGTCAGCACACATCCAAAATTCACAATCAGTTCTAAAGATAGGAATTACCAGCTAGTGGATTACTGTGGAAGAATAGTAAGTATTTACCTGAAATCAAAGAAGTCCAGTGGAGTCATAGTTTCTAAAACTGCGAATTGTTCCACAAGTAATTTCAGAATCAATGAAATTCTATTCATTCTAGTAATAACCTTCAGCATGTTCCTCTCATCTCTTACCTGTAGAAAAAAGAAAGATCATAACCAGACAGAATGGTGTTTTCTCTAGGTCCTACCAAGTTATTTCACATCTTTTCACTGTTGTACATCACTTTAGTTCCCAAGTCCTTCCCACATGAAATCCATAGCTGCAGAATCTCATGTAGAATAAAGCACTCTGTTTTTAACTGAAATTGAAACTACAATTTTCAAAGATTGAAATCTTTGAATTTTTTTCTGACAGATGATACAAGTAGGCCAAACGTATAAGAATTTTTTCTTTTCTATGTTTTTGACTGAAATAGAAGTAAAATAATTTAAATTCTAGACCAAAATAATATCATTATAATTTCCAATAACTACAATATTAATATGATATAATATGATAATTATATTATGCTTTCTGTTACAATTACTTTCATAATAATTTCTATTATTGTGAAGGAACAAGTCATAAATCAGTTGTGGAAATTACTTAAAAGTTGAGAAGCAGAAAAATCTGAGAGGTACGTCAGGAGAGCACATCTAAAACATGTTTATCAGAAATGTGCATTAGCAAGCAGAGAAGAACAGAGAAGAACTACTTCTAGTGGGAAATGCAAAATACTAAATGGAAAACGCAGAACTTTTATAGCTAAGTTGAATACTTTGCCTGCAGAAGAGTCTGCTAAAATATCTTTTAGTTTCAGTGGGATTAAACTTCTCTCTAACATCTGAGTATGCAACCAGGAAATATCAAACTACAAAAATGGCAGATGATAATAATTTCCCTAATTGCCTGGCTGTGTACTTGACCTTAACACTGGCATTTCAAATTCTGATTAGAAGCAAGGTTTCATTTTTCCCAAAACTAAATAACAAAAAATTGTTCTATTTAAGAACTGATTTGAACCAATTATAATTTGATATAATGTTAAACTAAAAAGCCAACAAAATAATGAATGCGGAGGACAACAGAGATCATTTTCTTCTTTCAGCCTGGTCTAATTTGTAGACACATGCTCATGAGGTACTCAAGGTATTTCTCAAATTGCATGCAGTCAGCCTTTTTCTGTGGATGTAGTATCAAATCAAGAGTTTTCCATTGTTACCTGTTGTTATAAGCTTAAGTGTTCGGCTTTAGACAAATGTTTAGAGATGTTCAAAATATTACTGTTACATTTGTCATTTTCAGAAATTCTCACACAATGTGATTTTGATTCTTGCTTTTCTGTTGTATTTAATATTACACAACTACCAAAAGAGTTTTCTTTCCCACAGCAGATATTGGACAGAAGGATACTATATGTAAATTTGAAAAACTGAGCGAAGGCAGATGCGACTTTTCATCATAAAAATAACTGTGAGCCCTCTGGTTTTCCATTCTGCCTTTGAGCCTGGTTTTTCTGCAGTAGCATATTTCCAAGTTAAGTTTCTCCTGTTGCCCAGTACTAGTAGGAGAGCATTATGAGAGCATTTTGGCCAATGAAATTGGTCTTGGAGGATGATCTATGCAAAAGGCATACTTCAGAGGGAAATAAGATTTTGCTGATCAAAAATCTCTACTATCCAGATATAAGAGCCACTCAGCCAAATATTATTGGCATCATTTTTTGATGCTATTTTTGAAAAGAGAACATGAACATGGTGCTTTAGTAAACCCAAATATATCAGGCCGAAAGGCAGGGCTGAATTTTCCCCAAATTAATATTTGCTTTTAACTTACGTGGCCATTTTGAAAGATCACTCGCACAGAGTCCATTTCCCACAAAATCTGCTTAAACCAAAGTTCATATGCTACAACAAGAAAGGCACCATTAGCATCAGCTTTGAGGCTACTTGTTTTTTCTTCCTAGCTCTGAGAAAGTGAAATTCTTGTATTTTGATTTGAAATTAATAGCTTACACTTACCCTGCTAGCATACAAAAAGATGTTGACACACAAACTTATTACCTGTTACAGTATGCTGTCCTTTACTTGAAGTATTACACAAAATAATGTAGAGTCAAGAATGCTGACAGAATTTTTTAAAACATGTTTTACACATCAGATATTTGTTGTACAGAATGTTCATTACAAAAGGAGCAAAGAGAAAATCCAGATCTGGTACTCCAGTAAAAGCTAACTCCAGAGCTGCTTACAATCTACATGTTTCCTGTCAGTAACAGGAAAATATCATCAGGCCAGAGCCTGCAAAACAGGTAGATATGAGCAGTTAGGGAGTCCCTAACCAGTATGTTGACTTCTAGACAGATTCTAAATGGTTAAAACTGGATTGAAGTTTCAGAGAAGGCACAAGACCACACACAAAATTTGCCTACAATAGACTGCATAGCAAACAAACTGTGTATTGCATGTTTCAGCAACAAATAACTCCCTGTAGCAAAAATGTCACTAAACCCCCACTGAACTCCTCCCACTTACCTTGATGCGTCACAATGAAAAGATGCTCATCATGGATTTTTTTCCCATTCTTCTCACTCTCAAGTTCTTGAGCATTCAATATCTTGTTCAGCTTAAAAATAATAATAAAAAAGACTGTTCTGTAAAACTCTCGATTCTACTACGAGAAATGGTAGTTCAACTGTGTACAGCTAATATTTAAGGATAATATTTTTAAAAACTATACCTATAGACCTCACATTCTAGGTTATATGAGAAGCTAGACTAAACGGTCTCAGGTATGACTTTTAAGGGTATTTTTAATTATTTAAAAACAAACAAACAAACAAAACCCCAAAACCAAAATAACAACAACAGCAGCAAAACAAACTAAAAACAAACAAACAAAACCAGCATGTTTTCCAGATCTTACATGTATACTGTCATGTTCAATGAAAATGGAGTTTCTACAGTAAAATTTCATGTAGACATACAGGAATATCTGCATAAGAACTCTGATTTGAGCCTGTACTAGACATTTCAGTTCTGAGATTACTATTTTTTTTTAACTGAGTCAAATTTACAATCCAATTATAGTTGTCTAAAAAGAAATGTTTGCAAGATTCCATACAGTAGAAAAAATGTCAACAGATTAGTTAACAAGCACAAAGTAATTCCTCTCACTTTAGTTTGTGCTGTCACAAAAAGAAAAAAAATCTAGATTCTTTTATTGCCTATGACATTTTATTTTTACTTATTTCTTAATTACTTCTAGTTTTTGCAGGTCTTGGTTGGGTTTGGGATTTTTTATCCCCCCTGGTAATCATCCTATCTCCTAGATTTCTGGCATATATTTTTTCAGCCAGATGTTCTGGGCTTCCATGAAATAATTCAAGGAAATTGCACAGAGCCTGTTGACATGGAGAAATTGCCAGATAGTCATTGTCAGACCTAAGAAAGGATTTTGTGGTGCACCACTTTACAGTTTAGGTTTACCAATATGAATAACTCCCCACCAAACCGCTCAAAACACTCATCTTCCTCCTAGTTTGAGAAGCCTTCCCACAGTCCATCTGCACCATTCCAGTTGAGACAGGCATCTGTGCCTGTTACTACACATGGAGAGCTCATATAGATGAAGGGAACTTGGAGACCTGTTTTAGTGACTGTCTGACTGCTGGGAGAAGTGTCAATCACAGGTCCTGCCTCAAATCATAAGAGTAACCAGGACAGCAAACAAGAAATCCTTAAACTTACTTGTAGGTATTCTCCATAAATAAGTCCACCTTTGCTGGCTTTATTTATTCCTTCTTGTGATTTGTCTTCATTTTCATCTTCCAAAGATAGCTTGTTAAAATTAAATCTAAGAGGAAAATTAAGTAAATATGTAATGTCATTTAATTAAAGAACTATTAATATACCTCCCTTTTTACTAACAGATGCATCTGTTAGTAAACATTCAAACAATTCTTTATTTTGAGAAACAGAACAAGTAAAGCAGGCTTTTGAGAAAAATAGTACGCCTGAAATTCCTTGTCACAGTAACAGCCTGTAGCATTACATCTAGTTCATCAAATAACAAGTGCTCAGACAAGTCCTTGTATGATCTCTTTTCATTTAGCAAGAGCTACAACTGTCTATTTGCTGCTAACAAGTAATTTCTCTCTGAGCTTTCATATTTTGCATTAACGCTGTATCATTAGAACTGAATTTTTGAAGCAAAATGCAGAGAGGAAGGACTCACAGGTAATTCTTCCCCGCGAAGGGGCAACCACTCATGATTCCAGGATCCAAACAGACTAAGCTGTACACCAGGGAATATACTCCGTTGATATTCCCAAATCTGCTGCTGCTGCCTTATATGTAACCTTATCTCTCTGCCTAGGCCAACCCCCAAATTCCCCTCCTTGGCCCTCAGCCCATCCCCACTATTCAATAATTACAGAAACTATCACAGCACAAAGGTCAATAAGTTCATGTGTTGTTGGCTCGCCAGGGTTGTGGGGTTTTTTCAACCAATTAAAAAAGGAATGGCTGGCATGCTTGTTTTGTCCTATGGCACATGCTTTTTACTGCAAGGTCTCCACCAGTTGCTTCTTTGGAAATTGGTGTAACGAGTAAGTCAATGAGACATCTGTGTGTGAGAAAAAGGCAATATTTTATAAATACAGAAATTGTTAAAGTAGGTTTTCAACTCTCAGCCTCTTGTATCAAGATACTTTTAAATTTAAAAAATCAAACTTATGGAGGATAATTTGAGGGGAAGAGGAATCATATTCTTAGGGCACACTGAGTAGTTCTTATTCAAAGAGGTTTCAAGTAATACACATACTTTCAAAGAATGCACACAGATTAAGTAAAAAACGAAAAAGCAATCATGTATATGTTATACTGGTTTTTCAGTGGCTTAATTCATAACAATTTCTTAATTTTATCTCCTCACGCAAAAGTTTTGCTCTCATTTATTGACGAATGTTACTCAATTCTATTTATTCATCAGCTTAACACACAATGAAGTAACATGTAACTAGTATGCACTTCTTTCCTGCCTGCCAGCCCTTTCCAAAAAAAAGGTTAATGGTCAGTTTCACTGCAAACAAAACTATGGGCTTCTGTGACCCTAGATCATTTGCTTTCTGCAAGACTTGCTCTGCTTAGTGGCGTCTGTGTGGTGGTTTCAGCTGTTCTGGTCACTTAAGAGTAGTTTGCTCATAAAAAAATTCATATGCAGTGTCTGGGTGATGGGATCTATACGCTGTTCAGCCATATGTCATTTGTCAGGCTTTACACGTATTAGCTTAAAACTCAGCTGAGCCACAAGAAAAGTATTCAGAAAAGCCTTCACTGAGGCAACCCACCAAGCAAGGTCAAGGTGTTCTTCCTTCATGATGTTAAAACCTGACAGAGGAAAATAATCCTCTCCCCACACACATCTACACATCTGCTCAGCGATGCAGACAACTAGAGATGAAAGTGAAGACTTTGCACTGCCATGTACATCAGAAATTAAATGTTGAAAACTGCTTTTCACATATTTGCCCTCAAACAGCTTGATTTACAAATGTAAAAATCTTGCACATCCATAGATCTCAAAGGTGTGGAAAAGGAATGATTATCTTGTCATACATATATATCTTCACCTGAAATATCCAGACTAAGCCTGTATAATGAAATCAAGCTTTCTGTTATCTTTTCTCATGTCACAAGCAAAGAAAGAGTGTGAAACTAGTAAAAACTAGGACAGTTAAAAAATATTGAACCCTTAACCTCACAAAAGATGTTAATGTCTGTTTTCTTGTGCAGTTTTATTTTCTTCTGTGGGGCACAGAGAATAATAAACTTCCAGAGCAATGATCTCTGACTTGTAACCTTTGCATTGCCTTCCCAGTAGATAAAGGACTCTGAAGTATTAGAACCCTTTTACACTCTGTGCTTAACAAAACGTTAACTCCCTATTTGGGAAGTAATACTACTGTTAATTCGTTCAGGGTTAGCAAACTCACCTGAAATCTACCTGGGAATACTATCTAACCAAGCAGTATAGAAACTCCTCTTCTGATTCAGCAACAGACAAGCTCCAGACAATCAAATAAATCAGCCAGACTACAGCAATTAAGAAACTTATTTCCAGTGTTTCCAACATTTCAAACTCCTTCTTTAGGGACCTCATAGCTGATTGGTTCCAAAGCTCTAGACTGACCAATTCCTGAAAGGTGGGTAATGTTATGGATAATATTATCCTTGCATCCATTCATATAAGAAAATTCAATCTCACCCTAGCTGAGTTCAGCTTTCTAACCATTCTAACTACAACAGATCTCTAACTGTCCAAGATCAGTGGAAAAAGAGGTCTTAATGAGGACTTGAAAACCTCTGAAATAAAAGCATACAGAATACAGAACTGTCAGTCATTCACCTTGCTGGCTGCCTTCATCTGATCCCAGTAAGGCTTCAAAGTGTGTAACGAACCTGGTAGTAAATTAATTTTTTTAGTGACTTTTACTACCTGATTATGAAACTGTCTGTTGGCAGTGTAGATGACAGTACAGGTTACAAGAGACCTCAGGTTTGGATCAGCTCAGAGCCTTGAACTCTGGCCTGGCTGCAGATACCCTTAGAAATAAACGGGCTTCTGTCATGCTGCTCAGATTTGAGGCTCACTGTAGGGACCTGCTTTTTATTTGAGTGGTTTGAGTGGCCTTTATGTCCTAACAGAGATTTTACAGCTACTTTGTCATTTCTTTCTACTAGCATGATCATAAACAAGTCTTGATGAAAAAAGCTCTTTGATGTGAATATATCTGAAAGCAAAACACACCTTAATTTTAAATGATGGTATTGCTTTTTCCACAAAATGTACCATTAGTTCCCTTTTTCATGCTGAATAGTCAGAACTACAAAGAAGCAGATGTAACCACACATAACTTGCTGTTCATGCTGTGGATGACTGAGCAAGGCTGTAAAAACCAAGAGGGTGTGTGCCCTTGAGCTTTTATTTAGTTATTTGTTTATTTACTTTTTAAAGCATGAAAGATAAAAAGACTTCATCACATCTAACCTTCAGTAGACAGTGAGAATGTTCTGTTTTGTGACTGAGCTGAACACAAGACAAACAGTTAAACACAGCAGAAAAAACCCCTCACAGCTTCTCAGAACTGCTCTTTGTGACCTTCAAATGAACTGTCACAGCCTTCATGACCAAGCATGGGAATTGTTAAGCACCCTTTTTAATGCACCTTTGTCCCCTTTCTGTTCACCTCTGCTTCCCCAGGTGGATGTGAGGTGGCTGGGCTGACTGCAATAGGGTTGTAGGCCAGAGACAAACTGAACTTACTTGGACTGAGAGAAGTGATTCATAAGGGCAAAAGGGGAGCCTGTCTCTAGCCTGGCCAAGGGGACGTTTGATGTAAGGCAAAGGTGGCCTGTAGCATGATTTATAGACACAGCTGAAGCCAAGCTTCTGCATGTTCTTGCTGTGTGGAGCTCTCTGTCTAGAACATTAATCTGATGAGGACGGGTAAGTAAGAATGACCTCCTATAAATTGTCATGAATCCAAGAAGATTGTGTATTAGAAGTGACCTGTTCATCCTACCCAGATCTCAAGTTCTCCTACATAAAATCACTTATGGAGAAGAAAAAATGCATACACGTGTTTGGACATTGTCACCCATTCTACTGTTCAAACTGTCATTCTGATTACAAAATCATCACAGATCAATTTGTTTTCCTAATGTTTGTTAACTTGAAGAAAGAGCTCAGAGAACTCCTGGCTGCAAACAAGTGACGCTTGAAGCTTCCCAGCGCTGTTGTCCCATAATTGCAGACTATGAGTTACCCAGCACACTCGGCTTCTACCTACGTAGCAGTGGCTGCACTGAGTCAAAGATCCAAGTAGGTTGTGCTATGCCAAAAGGTTTCTACTAGAAAGTAAAAGAAGTCTTGGGAAGAAATATTAAAACAAAAGAAGCAAACATTTTAAAATAAAAAAAAATTCAACAAAAAAACCCCAACCAAACAAAAAACCCAACAAACTAAAAAGCAAGCTTACAGTGAGATAATTTCCCCAGTGTATTTATCTAACTTTCCAGTGTTGACAGCCTAGGACTTTCTAACATATCTGTGACCTTGCATTTAATAACCCTTCTGTGAATCCACAGCCTGCAGCAATGAGTTCCGTAACTGAAGTTCATATCATCTGAAAGAGTATTTCCCTGTGTTAGTTTAAAACTTCCTGCCAAATAATCAAGTAATTTTCATTTCCATTTGGTACTAAGTCACAGCTAATGAGAAGTAAGTGTACTATACCTTTTTAGTCCCAGACACTCTGTTTTACACTTGTGTAGGTTCTATTGTGACCATTGTGAGATGAAGTAATCAAATGGAAAATACCTTTTCTATGTATAGATGCTGCATTGTTAATTCCATAGAATTATAGTGATAAAAGAATTTGCCTCTTGGACAACGAACACACAATTACAATAGTGAAATGCAGTACAGCAGCTACTGGTACGTTTTGGTTGACAAGGTACAACTCAAATTGCACAGGTGAAGCCCCCAGTAGCCTAAGCCAGAACTTCACTGTGCTGGCTGCTATGCAAACACTGAACAAAAATCTCTTCCTCACCCAATTTAATAATATAATAAGAAGAAGACAGGTGAATAAAGACACATAAGAGGAAGGTGAAGGGGAGAAAATAAACTTGGCACCAAAACATGTCCTCTACTGAAATGAGTGTTTTGTGATTTTCAAAACAAGACTTGGTATTTAACTAGCATTTGAAATTAACAGTTGGTTTTAAGAAAACTAAAATTTAGTGACTCTGGACTAAAACAAACAAGCTTAAAGTTGATGCAATATTAATAATCCAATCAGACATTTGTACCTGGGGGAGGAACAGAGCTCAAGGTCTTGCAAACTACAAACAAAGAGATGAGATAGTGCTGGAAAGACTATTTCTTTTTTTTTTTTTTTTTAGATATTGCATTTGCTCAACTTCTTAAACACAAATAACTGTGCCATCACTTCCCAGCATGCTTTTAACTTCCATTTGTGTTTCACACAGTCGCCAGCACAACCTCACCCCTGCTGTCTCTCATTTGTGGCTCAGCAGAATGCAGCAGTATTTCTTTCACATTGCACAGTATCTGTTAATGCTGGTAGCAAATCTCCTGTCTGATCCAAGCTGTGCTTAAAAAGGATCTCTTCTAAGATTACCACTGGTTCATCCTACACCTGTATTTTCTAAATATACAGCACTCATGCTGATTGTGCTTTCGCAGATTGCCTGAGAGCTGTACTCCAACGGTGAAGCAGCCGGCTCTCGGAATTGTCCCAGAGGAACCATTTATCTTCCTCATGTTCTGACTGATAACTATTCCC